ACGGAAAGACTCCCAGGTTCAGCAGGTTTCCATTTGGATGACTGGAATTCTATACTTGGTGGTATGCATTCCTTATGTGAATTGACATACCACATATTTAATCTTTTTTTTTTAATTATTATTATTTGGATACTTTTGTAGAGACCTCCTTTTGTACTTTGATTTCTGTGTATTTCTTCTTTGGAACTGGCCTTTTCTCCTTTTCATTTCTTTTCTTGATGCATGTGTGCTGGTGTACTGTTTGTTATCTATATCTAAAAGCCAATTTGGAATGTTACCTGGTAAAACAAAGCCATACATCCTTGAACCATTGGAGTTGTGTTGGGGAGAGGAAACAGAGCTGTGTTCCCACCCTCCAACAGATCTGGGATTCTGGGGCCTTTTAATAGAGCTCTGGGTCAGAAGAGAGGAAGTCTCCCCTCCATGTAAAGGTACAGGAGAGCTCCAGTGGTCAGGAAGTGGCAGTCTTGAGTAGAGGAAGACTGAAGTCTGTTTGGACATAGCTTTGGGGGGGTTGACCGCAGCAGGCCTGCTTTGAACTGCTGGAAGTGGGTCTCAGTGAAGGCAGAAGGGTTGGACAAGGTTGTAGAAGATGGAGCGCAGAAGGACAAAGTGGTCTTTTGAAAGGCGTCAGAAGATGCACGCTGGTGGAAGCAAAGAAAAGCACGTGGTATGTCATAAGAGGGTTTGTGAGGGGTTAGTGTGTTGGGAATGGGGAAGATGAAGGACGTTTGTTTACTGGCAGTTCTGTTTGAGGGCCTCATCTCAGGGCGGGAAGGCAGTTGATCGAGGTGGGAAGCAGAGTTGCAAAAAGCAGCTCTAAGCTATTTGAACGGCCCACCGGAAACGCTACCAAAAATTGGCCCAGGAAGAAGTGAAGGAGTGCACATTTTTCTGTCCCCCCCACCTCTGGTGCAGAAAAGCATCTGGCCAGAAGTGAGGGTAGGGGTAAAAGTTTGAAAGCAAATGTAAATAGAGAATAACCAAAGCACTGTGGTTCTCTGTAAATGTTTCTTTGTACAGTAACAAATGGAATACAATTAAAGCTCATATTGCATCTCTCCTTGTTTTGCTATTTTGATTTTGAGGAATGAGTGTGGTGGATCAGATGTTCAGCAGATCAGCCTGTGACCATCTAAAAGTGGCATCTTTTAATTTTAGGGCACAGCAACTGAGTTCATACATTACACTAAGCCTTTATGGGTTTTGTTCAGTTTTAGCTTAGTCTGATGAGGAAACCCACCATTCTGGCTTATTCATCGATGTGTAAATGTGGGAACACAGCCAGGTGCAGCTCATTTCTGTCCCGGTTTCATTGAATACCTATACGTCCATTAATGTCAATAGATGTACAATGCGTATATTCTACTTTTCTGTTTTACAATAAACACCAACAGAATAGAAGGGCACTTGACGTGAGCTCTGTTATAGAGCTTTGATGATGCACCTGGAATCAAAACCAGGATTCATCTTGCAAAGCAACTCATTGATCAAATCTGTTAGTTTTCAGTTAGCCGTTTTGCAGAACTGATGGCTTGGCTTCAGAAGATGCTTCTCCAGTGGTTTTCCAATAGGCTTAGCTAGACTTTTAATGCAGAATCCTTACAACATGGAAGCAATCCTGGTTCCTAATATGCAAGGTATGTGGATGTAAAAATACAAGATATTAAAAGCTGGAATCACTTAGACACAGTCTAAACCACCATCAGCTATTTTCCCAGCAAGTTTATGCCTCTCAAAACTCAGTGTAAACTCTACCGTAATAAAAGTGAGACCCTTTCTAGCAGTGAGCAAAACCAGACACAATGGGATGTAATAGAAAACAAATTCCACCCACGTCTCTCTGCGGTCTTCACATTGGGGATGTTGTCTTACCAAGTTTGTATATCCGTTTCTTTTCCCCTGGATTCAAAAACCCTGGATACAACCAACATCCTTTTGCTGGGTGTATGCAATGCCAGAATTGGAGTGGTTGATTTGTATGTCATTTATACCTAGCCATTGTAATTTGTACACCATAATTTTGGCTACTTGAGATGTGCAATTCCAGCCAATTATGGCCTATTCAGCAAATAGAGGCTCACCTCATAGCTACAATAATTGGAACCCAAGTTCTTCCCTTTGTAAGATACTGTTTTGTGGCTGTTCTGTTCAGTGGTGGGAGCAGAAGGCAAATGTTCATATTACGGTCCTTTTGCTTCCATTTCACTAAGATACCTTTTCTCAGAGGATGATCAGCAAGAATGGGTTTCCTTGCCCCAAATGTATCAGGACTGCAAAGTCAAGAAAGCTGAAGGCCATGCTAATTAAAGATTCTGGAAGGTTATAGGAAAAGATTGATTCTGGCAGAATTCAGGGATTTTCATGGCCCTGACCTGACTTCTATTTCCAAGGAAAAGGGAGATTTGAGAAGGGTTGGAATTCCAGAAAATCATTCAGTAATACCTGAAATGGGTTGAGGTTTAGATCTTGGAATGCTTGCCTCCTCAAAGTGGGCATAGGCAGGTAAAAAGTTTCCAGCAAACTTCCAGATTTATCATTGTGTTCAGATTTATTTATCATTTTAGGCTGAAAGGGTCAGGAATATGCTTCAGTGAGTTTGTACCATATTGTTACAATGTGGGTTGGCTTAGAATTTTGAATATTGGTTCTCCTGCTTGTCTGGAGGCCATCATAGAAGGCAGTTTCTTCTAACCAATGCCTAAATCTCTGCTAAGTTTGCCCAAGACACCAGGTTAAAATGGATTTGGGCAGTTTGCAGTTGAGAGAAGCCTGGCCATTTGTTACCATCTTGTGTGAGGTAGGCCAACTTACAGAAGCGTGGTTTATTTCCCTGGGCAGGGCATGTTCGATAAACAGCTGTGATTTATTAACTCAGATTTAGGGTTAAGGATATTGCATCATCCAACGGTCATCAGCCTTGGTAAACTTTCATTATATATCCACGTTGATAAGAAATCTAGGCAAATGAGTGCTTGGACAAATTGCTTAATGTGCATTGCGCAATCCTCTGTACCAGGGTACAGAGTTGAGACTACCAGATTTTATCAGATACATCTTTGACTTTCCCTTAAACTTTCAATCATATGTCTAAATTCTCTTTAGTCAACAATCTCATTTCTCTCTCATGCACATGTGTAGCATATCCTACACCTTCAGTTAGTCTTTTTCATGTTCTCAGTTCATCCCAACTTTGGATAACCTTCCAGTAGCAAAGGGACATTAAAATGACCTTCACCTTGAAAACCATCTGCTGCCTTGGATTCCATCTTTCCTCGATCTCCAGAGGTTTTTTTATACATGAGGTTGAAATGCAAAGACAGGAGGCCAGGGTTCTGTTTTCGAGTGCCCTTTCAGCAGAAGTTCACGGAATCATTTTCTTCTGCCTGAGCAGTATTCAGAAAAGCTGTTCAAAGCAGTGTCTGGATTTTGTATCTTGCTGTGCGTGATGTTCCTTTGGAAAACATCTGGCACAGACACGTCTTGTTAAAAAAAATGAAATCGAAACAATCAAAGCTTAATTGCTTTCAGCTGCTAGACCGCACGTCAGACTGAACATAAAATGGCAAAGGACCCCACTCGGTGGTGTGGTTTGTTCCCAAAGCGATGTAGGAGCTCTTTAGTTTTCATGAAACCATGACTAAACTTAGTTCTGTGGGGAAAAAAAATAGCCTGAATGTTGAATCCTCAACAGAAAACTGCCTCTCCAGATTGTTCTTTCTCAGCAAGAGCGGTTTGCCATTGCCACTTTGCAGGATTTTTTTCAACTTCCCAGTCTAGCCTGGTGCTCTGAGATTTTCTGGTAGTCTTCCATCCAAGAACTAGCCAGGCCCAACGTTGCTTAGCTTCCAAGTCCTGTCAAGCCCTGCCAGGTGGTATCTCCTCCCTCAAAACCATAAATGATTTGATTGATTTAATGATGTGCCATCAAGTCCATGGCAACTCTTAGTGACCACATCAATTTCCTCCAGGAGGATCTGTCCCCGACCTTTCAGCTCTTCCAACAGTGCCCCCATCGCCACTGTAACTGAGTCCCTCCACCTGGCTGCTGGTCCTCCTCTTCTCTTTCCTTCCACTTTTCTCAGCATTATGGATTTTTCAGAGGAACTTGGACTTCACACTGATTGATTCATTATGTGCCATAAAGTCACTGCCAACTCTTAGAAACCACATACAGTA